TGTCTGTGAGTGTCTGTGTATGCGTATGTGTGTGTGTCTGTGTGCACGCATTTATATATGCATATGAGTGAATAATTTTTATTTGGTGGGGGGTGGATCTTAGGTGAGTTCCCACACTTTTTTCCCCAGGACTTGACCCTTGCTTTGGAGAAAGTTCATAGAAGGGCTACTAAACTGGTTCATGGATTACAGGATAAAACTTACAAGGAAAGGTTAAAGGATCTTAACATGTATAGCGTGGAGGTAAGACGAGACAGGGGGGATATGATAGAAACATTTAAAGACAGAAAGGGAATCAACACAGTAAAGGAAGAGACTATATTAAAAAAAAAGAAAAACTACTGCAACAAGAGGACATAGTCTTAAATTAGAGGGGCAAAGGTTTAAAAATAATATCCCGTCTGACCACCCCCAGGAATGGTTCCAGGTAGAGGGCAAACACAAGGGGGGAGAGCAGGCATCCCTGTCTCGTCCTGTTGCTGATCTGGAACGTCAGGGACAGGGCTCCGTTTATCCTTATCCTGGCGCTCGGTATCGTGTACACCGATCCTATCCACGCTAGTAAGTAGGGGCCAAACCTCATCGCTTCGAGGGTGGCGATCATGTATTGCCAGTCCACGCGGTCAAAAGCCTTCTCTGCATCCGTTGAGAGGAAAAGGGTTCGTTGTTTAATTTTTTACGCCGCGTGGATGATGTTCAGTGCTCGGTTGGTGTTGTCTCTCGCCTCTCTTCCGGGAATGAAGCCCACCTGGTCTGGGTACAACAATTCCGGTAGGAAGTCTCGTATTCGTGTGGCTAGGACTTTAGAGAAAAGCTTCAGGTCCGAGTTGAGGAGGGATATCGGCCTGTAACTCACGCAGTGCGTGGGGTCCTTTCCCTCTTTTGGTATAACCTTTACTGTCGCTGTCAGGGAGTCTCTGGGGAACACACCACCGTCTCGTATGGAGTTGATGCCTTTCAAGAGCTGTGCCAGAAGCACATCTCCAAACTCCTTGAGGTATCTGGCTGGGAGTCCATCTGGGCCAGGGGCTTTATTCAGCTTGGTTGACTTCAGGGCCGCCTGCAGCTCCAAAAGCATGATGGGTGCCTCCAGCTGCACCACATCCTCATCTGTCAGAGTCTTCGTCACATTTTGTTGTAGATATGTTGTCATCCGCGTGGTTCTTGCACGTGCCTCCTCCGGAGACTCACTGTGCTGTAAATTGTACAGGGCCATGTAGTATAAGTGGAATGCTGTCATGATTTTGTCCGGGAGCTGGGTCATCGGCCCTTCCTTTGTTACAATTTTAGTGATATGGGTCATGCGCCTTTGTTTCTGCAATGTTTTGGCCAGGAGTCGCCCGCATTTGTTCAAGTATTCATAGAAGCAGTTGGATTTGCGGATCGTGTGTTGAAGTTTGTGGGATAGGTGGTCTCTGAGAGCCCGTTTGGCATCCAGTAGTAATCTGTAGGTGCCAGGCGTTTGGGTGGTTTTGTGTGCACCTTCCAGCTTTTCAATTTTGCGGATCGGATCTTCCATATGTTTTTTTGTTCCTTTTTCTTCTGCATGCAGACCTGGATGAGTTGTCCCCTTTTCACACATTTGTGCGCTTCCCAGCTCGTCAGTGGGGGGATATCCGGCGAGTCATTTACTTTGAAGTACGTGGTGATAGCGGCGCGGAGGTCTGCAACCTGTAGCACGTCCGTCAGTATGGATTTGTTCATCCTCCAGTGGTATTCCCTGGGTTTGAACAGGGGGGATTTAATATGGGTTGAAATGGGCGCGTGGTCTGACCAGCTTGCCGTCTTTATGTCCGCCGATATTAGTAGTGGCAGAAACTCCTGAGCGATTAGGATATAGTCCAATCTACTGTATCGGTGGTGTACTGTGGAGAAGTAGGAGTAGTCTCGGACCGTCGGGTATAACACCCTCCAGCTGTCCATAAGTCCCGTCCTTCTCAGCATCTCTTTAGCTTCTCGTAAGCACTGATGGGACAGCGAGCTGGTTCCTCTAGATGTGTCTAGTCATGGTTCCAAGGCCATGTTCAGTTCCCCTGCTACGAGGAGCAAGCCCTCCCGGAACTGCTCAAGTTTATGGAGGGTACTCTTGATGAATCGATGCTGTCGGGTGTTTGGGGTGTAGATGCTGATGAAGCTGTATACGGTGTCCGCAGTCGTGCCCTTGAGGAATAAATAGTGCCCCAGAGGGTCCCTGCATGTCTCTGTGCACTGGAACGGGACAGTTTTCGCAAATAGGATTGCGACCCCCGCCTTCCTGGCCTGATTATGGTTTGCGAAGTATCCAGTGGGGTATCTCGAGTCCCTGAGGGATGGTCCTGTGCTACCCTTAAAATGCACCTCCTGTAGCATCGCGATGGACACCCTGGATGCACATAAAGAGTGCAGGAGGTGCGTTCTCCGCTCTGGCGTGTTTAGGCCTCGCACGTTATGCGACCAGATGTGGAGTGGTGCCGACATGAACCCCGCTACTGCGGGGCCCCGGAGCTGCCCCGGGCCACCGGGAGGAAGGCGAGAGCCCACCTCCACCGTAGTCGAGCCAGGGGGGAGGGAAGATGGAGAGGGGCGAAGGGCGGGGTGCGCGGGAGAGAGGGGAGGAGCAGGGGGCGTGAACATTAGATGGAGTCATTCGGAGTGGTACAATTTTTTTTTTTTTTAGTCTTTCCCCATTATGGGGACCCACTCGGGAAGTGGGGCCAGATGGTAGGCCCCCCCCTCGAGTCTGGGATTCTCTGTGACTTGGTGTCTGTGGTCGGGCGGTGCGCGGCTCCCCCCCCCCCGGGGGGTGGGCCGTACCCCCCACACCAGGGTAGGGTAGGCACCTGTCACGCGGGGTTCGCCCTGTTGAGCACCGAGCAGTTACCGTGCTTTGGCACATTTCCTTAGATTGGTTACTAACTGTAAACTGTGAACCGAACTCTGTTAAAATGTGTAACAAATATTAGTAAAGAATGTAACCGTGTTATCCACTGTCCGCCTCCCCGGCCAGATTGGCATGTGTGGTACTACAGTGTGATGGTCAATGAAGGTCTTTGTAGGGTTTGGGTGTGCTGCAGTGGCTTCTCACTGGTTTGGGTATATAGCGTGCGGCGGAGAACCTATAGTGTGTCCGTTAGGGGGTCCTCGTGGGCTGTTCAGTGAGTCGGTCTCCAGCGTCCATCTCCGTTTAGTCACGGGGCCTGGGTGTTATTTGTGCGTCTCCCCGACACGAGTCGAGTCGGGAGGTGGTGCAGTCCGTCGTTTGCGAGTCAACTGATTGTCAGGCTGCTTCGTGGATGGGTCTCGGGAATCTGAGTCGGTCACCGGTGTCTATGCTTCTCTGTGTGTCCCACTAGTCGTCCACTATGTTTGCCCATGTGTCTTAGACTCCATTTCCTCCCCTCCTGTCATCCTTCATGCCTCCCATGTCGTGTTGGGACTTGCACCTTCTGCGGTTCTCCAAGTCCTCCACCTGCCTCCTGAGGGTCAGTAAAAGGGTGCCTTGTCGGGTAACCGCTACTTCA